TAAATAGGCCGCTTCTAATAAAATTTAGTTAAAACCAATTTAAAATGCCCCTAGGCCAGTCCTGCCCGCTGAAACAACCAAGTCTTGAGGGCGCGGCGGAAGGAGGGGAGATCCGGAATCACCCGGATCTCTGGGGGCAGCTCGTTCCAGAGGGTGGGTGCTCCGACAGAGAAGGCTCTCCCCCTGGGGGTCGCCAGCCAACACTGTCTGGCTGACGGCACCCTGAGGAGGCCCTCTCTGTGGGAGCGTATCGGCCGGTGGGAGGTAATCTGTGGTGTGAATCCCACTTCCTCAGCACTTGTTACGCTGGGCATAAGTCAATATGGCGGTTGACTGAGTCTTTATTCGAGAACCAAGCCTCCTTCAGTAACTGGCACCCCTTCGTGGCATCACTAGACATAATTTGGGTGTTGTCAAAGTCAAATTGATGGCCATGTTGTGCCATATGCATCCATATTTGGGAATGTTGCTCGCCCTGTCTTATGGCTAATTTATGCTCATGTAAGCGCGTCCTTAGCTGTTTAGCTGTTTCGCCCACGTAATTGCTCTGGCAGTTTCTGCAATTGATTTTGTAAATCACCACCGATTTTTCCATGGCGGGGAGTGGGTCTTTGGGGCGCATGACTTTTGAACGTAATGTCTTGTTGGGTTTGTGAGCCACCTCTATTCCATGGGGGGCCAGGAGTCTGGCTGTTGCTTCCAAAACGTTGTTAACGTAGGGTAGGGAGATGCGTGTTTTTTGTGGTGCCGGTTCATCCCTCTGTTGATTACTGCGGAAATGGGGTATTACACTGTGCCGTTTTATAAATCTCACTGGATACCCATTTTGTTGGCAAATGCGGAAGAGATGTTTCCTTTCTTCCTTTTTAAACTCATCTGTGCTGCAGTGGGAGTCCACGCGCTTAAATAATGCTCTAATGCAGCTAACCTTATGGGACACCGGGTGATTACTCCTATAGTGGAGGATTCTGTCCGTGTGAGTGGACTTGCGGAATACTTTGGTGTGTAACGATCCATCTGATTGACGGTGGATCGACACATCTAGGAAGGCTAAAAAGCCTTGCTTCTCCTCCACCGTGAA